TACGTTTTTGTAACATGAAATGGAAATTCGCGCTGTGAAAAGAGGGCGAAGAGTCTGTTTCCCACCCTCTTGACATCACTCGACCTTCCGTCGCCTGGTGTTTTTGTGCAAGTAATTTACAGAATAGAATTCTTGATTAAATTGGAGTACATTTCGTGTTTCGCCCCCTTCGGCTTACCGGCGACCATCTTTTCATTTACCTGGCTGGTTGGGGGCTGGGAACCCGCTCCGCCCCGCTCTGCCCCGCCCCCTCGCACTGCGCATATAAAATGGAACCGACGTCAGAGCCGTTTGAAGAATATTTGCTGCATATTCAAGGCACCGAGAGCCCTTTACCACCCACCCCCTGCCTCATCATTCATCCGCCCTTCGGCAAATCCACGCCCGCCCTTTTTCCTACCTTTTTTCCTTACCTGACTTTGCTGAAACATGCGAAACTTATTTTGCAAGTTTTATGTCGACGTCGTCGTCGAGCAGCAGCTTTTATTTTTCTCCTTTCTTTTCTTGTTTTCTCCTTTTACATTTTTTGCCCTTTTCCAGTTTTCACATTTGGCTCTCTGGTTTAAATTACAAATACACCAAAAGAAAATCTTTTTTGAAGAATGTCCCTTGCATTTATTAGTTTTGAAATAAGTGTCCAATAAATGTAAGGGCTTAATACTTAAATGAAGCAAGCAACCAACGAAAGAAATATATCTACAAAAACGATTGAAAAACGTTTTGGGGAGTAAACATTTTATAGAAATAAAGAAAAAAAAAATGATTTAAAATTTATCTCAGCATAAAATACCTTTAGTTATTTTCCAAATGCAGAAAATGTGTAATTTGTTGATTACATACAAAAACATTTTAAGGTTCTTAACATATTTTTTCAACAGAATTTTGTATATATTTTTTTGGTGGAGCATTAAGTTTAAATTAAACTTTGTGCAGTGTAGCGCATGCATAAAATTGTCGGCGAAAAAACTTAGAAACCCAACACGATTGAGGCGAGCAAGCAGGATCCAAGGGGCTCCATTGCCACACCCACTGGCAGGCATATCCATCCACATCCACATCCACATCCACATCCATGGCCACATCCACGCCCCCGGCTCGAATTGCATGGCAAGATGCCATCGCCATTTGGCTGGCTGAATCGCTGGCAGACGACGGCAAAGTCGATGGCGATGTCGATGGCGATGGGAACCCAAGCATAAAATAGAATTTCTAACCAGCGAGCAGCGACTTAAAGCATTCCCATTTCATGGATTAAATGAGTTCAAGTCGGGAGCGAGGGAGGGAGAACGGGTTTATCTCGAGTCCCAGCCTCGCATAACTCAAGGTCCGTTATGAGGCCCTGCTACAGAATCGGGAACAGATACGTTACGATACGATACAGAAAACTAAGCTGCAACACGAAGAAAAAATATTTAAAACAGTCAAGGAAAAGTTAGTTATAAAGTTTTTAAAATTAGTTGATGCAGAAAATCTTTAACTTATCATAAAAATAAAACTAAAAATATTTTACTTGTTTTGCAATCGTCCAAGAAGCAATTATTTCCCTCTACAGTTGTCTAATACTGAACTCAATGCCATTTGCTCTAAACTGTTGAATTTCCATAACTTGAAGTCTTATAAGTCAAACTAGTTTTGATTGCAGTATAATACTATAGCTCACAAACTTAAACTTTTTTTTTCAGCAGACGTGTGCTTGCGATATAAACGGTTATATTGTGCTTTCAAAAAACCCTATTAAAATTATATTTTATGTATTATTCGTAATTTATTATTTTTACACATCGAACACTTTTTTCTCTGTGCACAACAAGATAAAAAATGGCCTTAAAGGCCTTAAGAACGAACATCGATAATGTGTAGGAGCACAGGAGACGGATAGTTTCGGTTTGTTATTCTTTACCGAACGAGTTGCGCGCACCAAATACGCAGCGGGATGGACGACCTCGATAGGCAACCGCTGCAACTGTGGCACAAAGGCGTTTGTTATGGTCATTAATGCTTTTCTTGGCCCAGAACGGACCGAGGGAATCCTGTCGCTCCAGTTAAGGCCGTGAAATATGAAATTTGAATCCTGAATCCCGAATCCCGAATTCCGAGTTTCGAAGGTCAGCCGGCAGCAATAAATTTGATCGAACTGCTCTCGTTTTCATCTGAAATCTGTTCCAGGGTCGTTGGCTTGGCCTCTTTTTTTACGGCCTATCGCTGTTATGTGAGGACATTATGGAATCCCTGGGAATCCGCCAAAGATCGAACTCTTTGCCCAGCTGGAAACCAGGTTGCCAAGTGCCCCGACAGCTCTCGCTCCACATAAAGTGATGCGATTAATGCAGAACATGCCCGAACTCTGAACTCATCATCATAAAATCGGGGCAACGACAACTACACACGCCTCAGTGGGCGGTGTGTTGGTGTTCTGGGGTGTTGGGGTGTTGGGGCCAGTCTCGAGCCAAATTAGTGCGATTCCAGATGAGACCCGGCATAACCCCATCCACACTGCGCCCGATAATAGCAATGAAGTAGAAAATCCCGAAAAGCTCTGAAGCGCATAATGATGAGCAGTTGGGAATGGGGAATGGGGAAGTGGAAAAGAAGGGGCGGAGACTTCGATAGATGGGGACGCATATCAATGCGAGGGAGGATGGGCCCAGAATAATGCCCTGCGACTGAAATGCCAACGAAACGGAAAACTAATTCCGCCGTTTGTGACTTAAATGGCAAGGCCGAAAACAAAGGCGACTCGGGGAGTGTGAATCTGTCTCCACAGTGGGTTGGGTGTGGGGTAAACTTAATTAGCTCAAAAACATTTCGGAGCTGTTCTTAAGAAACATGATTTAAGTAGAGGCGATATTCCTGCAACTAAAACCAATTTAATTAAAATAATTTAGCAATTTCTATTAATAAAACAATGGCGCTTCAATTTATGTGACTAACATTGAGTACACTTCTTAAGTCATTTTTAGGCCGTTATAAATTAAAATTTAGCACTCCAGGAAGTCGGAAGATGATGATACTTGTATTAAATAAGTTGTGAAAACCCAAGTTTAGAACACATAAACAAGCTTAAGTCTAACAAAAAAATAAGTTGCAGTACTCATCTAAAGAAAAAGTATTTATTTGGGCATTACACTTAGTACTTATAAAATTTTATTTAGCTTTACAATTTCCAGTCAAAGCTTTAGCCTTTAGAAATATCGAATGTATGTAAATCTATAAATTATATTTTGTTTTATTATCGGATTGACATCTGTATATTAAGTTTACATATTTTTCTCAGAGCCTTAGAATTATTTGTTTAAATGAAAAACCACTTTAAAATTTATAGAATTGTTAAAACTGTTTGAATCAATCCACTGTACCTGGCTTTTCCATTGACATTTTCCCAACTAAAGACACGTCGCTGTGCTGGGACTTTGTTGCTGGGATAAACGATTTCCAATAAAAATAAGGCTTTGCTAGTGCCCCGGAAATTCGGTTTTTGGCAGGCCCAGGAATCGCGGCCATCTCGAACCAATTCCAGCTCCTGGTCCAACAGCGATGCTATCGGGTTCGATTGTTGATGGGAGCTGTGAGCTGTAAGCGGTGAGCTAGGGGATATGCTCGTGGTGGAGGTCGAGGTGGCTCACGATGGGGCATTAAATTGTATTAAAATGCGCAACGCACACACACACCCCACCCACCTACGCCCACACCCACTCCCTGCCCCTGGGAGCCGCCCCACGCCCCCAAAAGTGTTCCCTGAACGCCTCGACTAAAAGACGGCATTTATTTTTAGTCGCCGCCGGTGAGCGTGGCCAAAAGTCTAGGAAACTTGGGCAAGAGAGACGACGGGGGACCGATGTCGGATTCCTGAACAAATGGTATTTTATTTATTTTTATTGGCGAATGTCAACGAGGCGTCGCTTCCTTTGTTTGTCCGCGATGGAAATCAAATTGGAGAGTTTTAATTCTGGCAAGGGTCCTCTTCACTCGGTTTATTGCCAGCCCAATGAAATAGTTTCGCTAATGTATTTCGGTCTCCCCATTAAAACTAAATGCTGATTCATTCCAATTTGGATTCGATACAATTTAAAGTTATAATCTTTGGCGTCGGCACTGTTTGTTGTCTAAAGAGCATAAGTATTTTGCAAATAGCTAACATTTTAAAATATTATACATTACTTCTACTGTAACGGTTTTAACTTACAAACCATTTTTTTTACCAGAACTCATAAAACTTTTAATTTTTAATTACTTAGTTTCTAAGATAACTTTTAGATCCTTATTAACATTTTTTTATTTCAGTCATTTAATACAATTTGAAGGCAATAAAAATGTATAAGGTAAAAACAATTTAAGTACATGTTTTAAAGAAACCTTTTGAAATTGTATTTTTGGATACGATTTTGAATTTGTCTGTAAATCTAATAATTTAATAAAATCAATGAGCTAAATAATAAAATATTCAAATGCTTGAAATTGGGGAACGGTATGTTTATGATTGTAATTTTTTTCCACGGAACCTTTTGAACCAATATTTGGCTTTAATACATAAAATTCGTTTATTTATTTCTCGAAGTCACAATTTTTAAAACAATTTGATGAAAGTAGATAAGGACTTGATAAATTGTGAAAGTTAAAATTAAAATACATACAACATTGTCAACACGATTCTTAATTAAATGGTTTGTTTTTGAGAACTGAAAGTTATATTGATAAAAGTTGGTTGCTCTTTTTATTAAAACTTTAAGTTTAAGAAAGAAAATTATTGTAACAGGACAAGCTATTGTTTCATAAATTTTGTGCTATAAATACCAAGAAAGTATCAAGATAAAATTATTTGGTTTAAAAATAAAGCCTTTGCGTAAAGTGTTAGACAATTCGGTATAAAAATAAAACTATAGCATTGAATTGTTGTTTCAGTATTTCTTGGGCTTATAAATAAAACAAGAAAGCATATTTAACTCTGAGATTCTGTTAATATTTGATATTTATTTTAATAAAAAATTTCAATTCAATTCCAGCTACCAAAATACCCATACAAAATGCCGTCGGCTGAAACGAAAATGTCTGCCATACGAATTCCAGGCGAAGAAGAAGTGAATTTAATGGAGCGCCATGATGGCCAAGCCGAATGTAGAAAAAAGAAGATGAGAAAGAGAGGAGAGTCGAGTGCGGAATGCCGTTGGAATGTATGAGATTGGGCTGCGCCGACTGCGCTGCCTCCGCTTGTCAATGGTTGCCAAGCGACTGCGGCGGCCATCATGGATGTGAAAGAGAGCAACGCTCTCCGCGTCTCCCTCTCTCGCTCGTGCCAACAGTTCGATATTCCGCAGCGGTACACCATATAGCCACTCACCTGCGACGGCGGCTGTTGTGAAGTTCTTGCGACGTGAGCGACTGGATTTCGGAGTCCCCCAAAAACCAGTGGCCCCAGCAGGATGTCGGAGGGGGCTGAGGTATTTCGAGGGAAATTCTGCGACTGCGTCGTCGCCCAGAAAAAAAGCAGAAACAAAAGCCGAAAATCGAAGGAAGTTGCCCAGGGTAAGTAACGGTTGTTAAGGGATGCTTAGAGAGAGAGGCAAATATTTTTAACTAAACAAGGATGCGCAGAAACAATGGACTTAGACAATACACCAACCAAGAGGTGAAGGTCACCGCTAACTTCAGGAAATAGTTGGGCCAATTGGAGTTATTTTTCAAATTCAGTTGGATAAAAAATTTCTTAGAATTATATTAAAAATATTTCAATTTAACATGAATTGAAAATAACGATTTAAACACTTCAAAAACTCTTGTACTTATCTTAGAAAATGTTAGCACGCAAACTAAATTCCAAAACATTCAGACCTCTGCCGCTCTCTCTTGCTTACCAATACACGCAAAACAGCCGCTCTCTTCCAATTGGACTTTGCCTTGGTGTGCGTGCAGGCTCTCTTATATTGACACTCTTAAGTTGTCTATGTATTGGTGAGCTGAAGCTCTTAAGAAGTACTCTTTCCACTTCTCTTTATATATACTACAGCACCTGTTCACATGGCGCTCTTTTACTCTCCATCACTCTTTTTGTTTTCTTTTGCTTCAATGTTTTTGTTTGTCTTTTCTCTTCCCCTTTCTCCGCTCTCTCTCTTTTATTCCCCGTCACAGCTGCCATTTGCTTATTGGACGCTGCAGTTGGCCCGCTCTTCCTCCGCCTCGCAGCTTGAAATCTTGTTAGAATTTAATAGAATCTCAAAAGTCCTGCGCAAGTTTTCGCTGCTTTGGGGAAATGCAATTTCCTTTTTTACGATTTTCGCTGCTTTGCCAGCTTTTCCCACTCGTCTTGTTATTTTTTTCCGCCTTTTTTTGGGCTTGCATTCATTTTTTGGGTGGTTGCACGGGCGGAATATAATAAGTTTTTCGCTCGCTTGGCAACAAAGTTGAATGCATTGTGGGTGGCAAATATCAAACAATGGCAGAGTTCTGCTTTTTGCTGATAAGAATGATTGGGGCAATCGCACGGCACAACAACAAAGTTGAACAAAGTCCCTGCCAATGGGTTTTCCTTCCAATTGGATAGTGCATCCTTGCGGGTTCGTGACTTGGCTGTAGTTGGAATAAATTTAACAGCTTACTAATCTGAAAAACCTTTCGAACCCTGAATTATAAGTGAAATTATCGTAACAAAGGTCCAGGGACAAGGGCGAAAACGAAGGCAAATGCAGAGAGCTTCCAATCGAGGGCAGCAATTCGTGATAAGGTGCGGTTAATTATCATTTTCAATTCCACTCCCGATTGCCGATCCATTCGTCACAGTTTCGCGCCTTCACCCACATAAACAAGTTTAAATATATCGCATTGTTTGTTATTGAAACAATGCGCCTACACATTGAAGCCGAACACAAACATTTATTTTTCGTCTTTTATTTTTTTTTGTTTACTTCGCACATTTGAATAGAGCGAACATCGAGTGGAGAGGTCAAATTAATGCATGACCTTCACGGGATGGAGATATTATATTGTGTTAACTAAATCATTAGTTGCTTAATTAGCATTAAACATTATGTATTATAAAATTGAAAAATATATTTTATGTTGTCTTTTATTGGGCAATTAAATAAACTTATAGTGTTGAAAATCAATAGCTAAGTTTAAAAATTGTTTATTTCCATGTGATTATAAACTTACTTTTATTACCCCTTATAAATTGGCTGAAAAAGAATACTTAAATGCTTAACACTATTATCATCACATTTTCCATAATAAAATATTGTTCAAAAGTACAGATATACCCAATAATTATTTTAAATACATTTTAATTAATAAGAACATTACACGCTTTGTTTATCGTACATTTAAACGAACTCTTTAATTTTAATGGGTTCAAAATCAGTGTTATTACCCCTGCACAACCAGTGACTAAGCAAACTGGTTTCGAATCAACCCCTGTGAACATATGGGGATTCCCTATACAAATAAGAAACGATTCTCCTGTTCGGTAACAGCAATAAACCAAAACCAGAAGGAACGGAAAATTAAGTAGGTGCAAAAGGCGATGAATAAACAGGGGACAGTAAAAACTTAAGACCGAAATCAATCTGTAAATTGGCGCAAATAACTCGGGCAGGGACATAAATCAGGGGCATTACGGGAACGGACGCCGGAGATGAAGCCACTTGACGACGGGATTCCCGGATCGACAGCAAAATCTTGGGAGGACGACGACGAGGACGAGGAAGAGCAGGTCGAGCAACGGACGTCATAATCGTTTCAGTGACAAAGCATAAAATTTGAGTTTTACGATTTAACTGGGCCATAAAGCAACCAATTAGTGTCAGTGGCAAAGACACTGCTTGCCGGTGGGGCTGTGTATCGGCTGGGGGCGTGGCAGTGCGTGCGGATTGAATACTTGCCTACGGTTATGAGTGTGAAATGCGTTTAATTGCTTTATGATAATTCCGACAGCTCATTAAAAAAGTCCACAAAGCCCAAGTAGCTTTACCGTTCTACCGTTCGCCGGCTTCTGTATTTTGTTGCCCACCAGTGGGCTTACATTGCGTTTTCCGTTCAAGTGACTTTTTAAGGAGCTGCCTAAAATACGACTTCCCACTGCCACAAGCCAGGAACAGAGCCAGAGCCAGAATCTGAATCTGAGCTGGGCCCACGGTAGGGGAGTCATAAAAGTGACGACAATTTCGTTTTATTTTTTATGACAAAGCGTCGCCTGCGGTCTTCACCTCCACACTCCTCCACTTCTGCACCGCCCAGGTGTGTTCTCGTCCTCCGATTCCGATTCCGATTCGCATGTGTGTGCCAGCGGGCTGAGCAGGTTGTGCAGGTGAATAATTTTCATTGCCGTAAATCACTGTGTCAATTGTGGTTGTAATGGCCGTCCAATGGATGTACACAAAAATGGAGACATCGACGAGGATTTATGGACAGAAAAAGGGAGAAAGGGAGACACAGAATTATAAGCATGTCGATTTCTAAGTTAATAAACATTTCCATTTTAATAAGGTATTTAACATGATAACTTATGTGTTAAGCAACTTAATGAACATAAAAAGATTGTATGCTTCGATTTATTTCATAGCTGCAAACTAGAGATAAAAAGCCGCAAGAGAACAAAAACATTTTATTTAATTTGTAAACTTAGTATTCATCAAAAAGCTATAAATTGGAGCTTAGTAACACCAATGGATAAAAAACAAAAGATATGTTTCTTTAAAAGTAGCATACAAAATTTAAATAAATTAGACAACTGACGCTAAATGAAAACTAAAGTTAGCACGTTTATTAATATATTAATCAAGAGAAATATAATCGAAACCATAATAAAATATCATAAAGCTCAGTAAATTTTTAACTAGCTTATCTATGATAGCCTAAAACATTACTCAAATTATTTTTCTGTAATTAAAAAGTCTGTTCAGTAGTGGTCGCAACGAATTAATTACGAACTGCTGCTGCAACGTAGAGCACATTAAATTCCTTATCTCAATTAAGTGCACTCTATGGCCAATGCATTTGTGCCCAGTCAATTTCCACGGCCAAGACAAATTGCCTGGCAATTATGATTTATGGCCCCTGATTGATCGGGTCGAATCAAACGCGGCCTGGCCAATTGATTGCCGTTGGCCAGGCCAACAACCAGCGGCCCAGTTCCATCAAGCTGAGGCAGTGTTTATTTGAAAGGCAATCTCCACTCGAAGTGCGCGGTCCCGGCTTTCAACTTCATGAAGTCTACGCTTGAGAACCTGCTCCTTGAATAAATAAAATGGCCAGCAGGCCAGCAGGCAGGAAATTTGAAAACAAACAAGAGGCCACAGCATGGAGAACGCCCCAAGGTGAGTGAGTAAACAAAAATGAAGAATGTTCGCTGATTGACATTATCCGGTGCACACATGCAACGCCGGGAATGGTAATTGGTAATTGGGGAATGCATTTCCATTCCAGACCCATACCTGGGCCCAATCCCATTTGGCGTTTCCGCCGCGGCCATATTTCAATCGAACTGCCTGGGCTTCTGCGCTGGGAATATCTGATTAACATGGATGTCCCGCGGCGAGATACCCGGTTTATTAAGCCATAAATTAAGCAAGAATGCTTCTGTAGTTTTTGATGGATTGCTCCTGCTGTCGTTTTTGAGCTCTGGCTAAAATAAACTAAACTATTCGTGCTGCCCCAGCTATTTTTCATTTGGACTAAAATGACAGAGAGGAGGAAAAATTATTTAATTTACCTAAAAGCTTTGGCAGCTGCTCTCGTTTCTCCATTTTCCGATGTTTTTTTTCGGTGCATTCCGTGCTCCATTCTTTTTTGACAAAATGAAATATTTAAACGCCGGGGAGAACGGAAAATCGAGACTAGGAAACTTTAAATATTCGCCGTTGACAGTGTGTGTGAGTATCTGTGTCTGCGTGTGTATCTCTGAAATGTCTAAAAGCGTTTCAACTTTAGTTTTCGTTTCTGGTTCTGGCACTCTGCCTGCAGCTCTTTGTTGCTTACCCCTCCATTTTTTATATTCTTTGATTTCGTTCAGTTTTTCCATTTCCATTGCTGTTCTTCCTCATCAAGAATTGGTACACCTTAAAAAATACAGCATTTAAATAAATACATTCGGTCTGTATTTAAATACGAATTCAGTAATTAAACTGGAATTGGCAATAATAAGAACCTTTCCAGCTAAGATTTCCTCTAAATTAAATTAAAATACACTTTTATTCAAAACTTTTTACACTTAGTAACAATTTAACTAAAATTGTATGTATATTTTATTGCTTTTATTTTTGTTTTTATTTTATTCACTTTATTACTTAGTTGATTTGATTTAACATTCACTGAAATATTCTACAGAACACTATAACACCTTTTCCAATAACAAATTTCATAGAAAAATACATTTTCTTTAATATAACAAAATTTAAAATGTTTTTTGTCTGTGTACATATCATCATCATCGGTCGACCATTGTGTTTTCTTTTTTGTTTTTCTTACTTTTCCTTTGCCAATTTTTGCTTCATTTCCTGACAGCCCCCTTTCCATCCCCCAGCTACACCTTCTTC